TGTTTTAACATTAATAAAATATTTATTGCAATCAGCTCATCTCTTCCAATTTGTTGCCAATTAACTAAAGTACTTAGTGGGAAGCTGACTGAGGCTGCAGCCGCAGGGCTGCACTAAGGTGAGCAAATTGGAGGCGTCTTGCGCTGGATTTCTCTCTGTTCCATCCTCTCCAGGTAGGAGCGGAACAGCAGGAGCTGGGAAATGGTAAGGACTTTCGTCTCCAGGAGAAGACATCTCCTATCATCAAGAGGAGATAAAGGCAGCAGAGAGCTGAAACACCCCACAGATTAAAACTCAAAAGTGCATGAGGCTGAACTTTTTTTGATGAAGAGCAGAGATTTTGGCCAGTAAGATGAGGCAGTCTTTTTAAATGTTTTAGGTTTTTTTTTTTCCAGGAATATTGATTAATGGGGAGAAGGGGTGATGGGTTCAAACTTAAACAGAGGAAGTTCAGGTTAGATATAAGGAAGAAATTCTTTACTGTGAGGGTGGTGAGGCACTGGAATGAGTTGCCCAAGGAAGCTGTGAGTGCTCCATTCCCTGGCAGCGTTCAAGACCAGGTTGGAGAGAATCTTGGGTGACATGGTTTAGTGTGTAGTGTCCCTGCCCATTGCAGGGGGATTGGAACTAGCTGATCTTAAGGTCCTTTCCAACCCTAACTATTCTGTGATTCTGTGATTCTAAGGTGAAGAAAGTTGCAACACAAAATGACAAGTTTTGAAATATGTTTGCCATAGAAATGCGAATCTTGATTTTTAGCTGCCTGGTATCTGGCATATGTTGCTATTAGCAGATTTCAGTATTGTGGGACCTCAAGGCATGGCAGGATAAATGCATATTTATACAATGGCCAAGAAAGGACAGGAAAAGCACCAGAAGTGAGGTCTTTGGCTACTACAGAGCCTTCCCAGTTGCTGCAGGCTACACTAATGCTGCTGGAAAGATGATTTAGCTCCTTGGCCAGCAAGTGCAGGCTTCAGTGGTAACGTAGCAGCTCTTCTGTAAGTCAGTGACAGCAGGATTGCCTGGGATAGGAGCCTTTAATGAATATCTTCCCTTAACCAATGCTTTGCTCCCAGTCCTTGCTGAATGTGCCTTTCTCCTGGGCATTAGCAGGAACAGCACAGCCGATGGCCCTGTGTGCAAGCCAGAGGAAAACAAACCCCAAACCCCCAAAGCCCGAATTCTTCCAGTACTTGAATTCTCACTTGCATCCCATAGAAGGCTGTTATTTAAATTACATTCACAGCCTTAATGCTTTGATGACTCCTTTTCAAAGCATTTTCTTCCCACTTGTTTTATTTAAACTATTGAGTTATTCCTGCATTCCTTCCTCCATGTCAGAGAGCAGGATGGATTACTTAGAACTCTGGCAAGTTCTGGAAAAGAGCTTATAAAATCTTCACTTGGGATGCTTCAGCAAAGCAGAGGAACCAGGTTTGTGCTGAGAGGAAGAGCAGGCCCTGTTTTTTTTAATGGGTTTTGTTCAGCTCGTTCGAAGTCTATAATGAGGGACTGTCTCTTCATCAAATCTGGCTAATGGGATCTTTGATCTCCATTAGGAACTGCAGCTTAGTGAGGACAGAATCAGCATCAGGAACACATTTCATCTGAATCTCCCCGCTTTGATACAAAAACGGTGATTCATCCCCCAGCTAGGCCATTTTTTCCCAATGAGCTTGCCATTCATGGAAATTAGGTCTAGTCCATGCTGCTTTAGCTCACAGAATTATTAATAAACTGAATGCCTGCACCTAAAATAAAATCAAATGGCATCTTCTTTTCTAAGAATGGCTGGGCAAAGAAAGCTGATTTTCTTCTAACTAAGGGATAAGATCAGCCAAGCCCCAGCAGTGTGAACATTTAATGTGGACTCACACAGGAGAGTATGAGGTGCCAGGGACATGGGAAGTGTCAGCACTGTCACAGCTTCTCTGCTTGCATCTCTGTTGGGGTTGAACTGCACTGATCTGAGCTGGACCCATGTCTCACAGCATCCTCCAGGGTTAAGGTTTTTCTTGGAGCTACGTGAGTGTTCACTATGAACATGGAAAGAGGAGCGACAGCCAGAGAACTGGAAAAGGACAGAGAATGATGCCTATCAATCTACCCTCTTCTCACAGTGACATGAATTCATAAGCCCTCTGATGCAGCCTCTCTTTTATGGGAGATGGGCACTGCATCATCTCTATACAGGAGCCAATTGCCAGCAGCCAATTAATTAAACAATTAATTAAACAATTGCCCCTTAACCCAGGCCCAAGATCTATTTATGTCACTCAGGCTCAGGTGATACTGAGCAGTTTCAGTTTGATCCCTCAGCAGTGATTTCAGCCTTCCTGAAGGTGCTGCAGACATTGGAGCCGGGACCACTGCCCATGGCGAGGCTGGAGGGTTCACCCAGTCCAGGGTTTGACAGGCTCTAAATCCATGCACGCAGCCTGGGAATGGGCACAGATTGGACTCACGACAGCAAAATTTATTGCAGCATGAACAGCAGAGCAGAGGAAGAACCTTGGGAAAGGAACCTCTGGCCAAATATCTTGATCTGCCACTTCCTATTATTTCAGTGCAGTGTGTACACTGCTGATGCAAGCGATTCTTGCAGGAAGACGAAGGGAAGAAGAGCATTTCCATCATTTCATAGGTATTGGTGGAAGTTCAGGGAGTAAACAAAATCCTGCCTAGTGCAGGCATCATTTAAATGAAGTCATTGCTGAAGTTTTGACTGATTACTGGTTCAGGGCCAAGGAGCTTCATTATCAGGTATGGGTGAATATGCAGCACTGGGCTCTGAGGAAACCATCCCTCTGGAGCTATAAATGAGGAAAATATGGTGAAATTCCTCAGTGCCATTTTTTACAAAGTCACTTTTGAGAGGAGAAATGTGATATTTATAGTTTTAAAAACTACACTGTTTGCATGATAGCTCTGCCAGTAAATGCAGAAAAAGCAACAAGAGTATTTGATGTTCAGCAAACTATCACCGGGTGTATGATTTCACAGTCTATTGCAACTGAAAGTAGAAGAGTTGTTTTTTTTTTTCACCTGGGGTAAAAATAAGTAAATCTGACACAAACTCTAGTGTAAGAGAAGGAGCTGAGTTTCTTTAAGGAAAGAAAGAGGTAGCACATAAAAGTAAAGTCACTTGCAAACATGGTATTGAAACAGATACTCGCTGCTTTACTCCATCAGGGTGCAACCTTTTGTATACTTCCCACTGCAACATTATTTCTAATAAATTATTGAGATAGGAAAGATATTTTACCCTCCCACCCTACTCAGGCCAATCATTAAGTGCATAAAAGCCTTTCCTATGTTATCGAACCTGAAAACATTCTTTAAAATGAGAGAGGTATGGCTACTTTTAACACGGATTTTATCCTTGAAGCATTCTTCCCAGAGCCCTCTCAGGACTTGGGGAGTTTTCTCCATTGTTCATGGGGCTTTGGGTTGGGATTTTTTTTTTTTAAGACCATGTTGAATTATTGAAAACCAATAAAATATTTAGTATCTGATCAATAATACATTGGTTGCTCTGCTACTTATTTTTATTATTGACAGAAGCAACTTGGCTGCCTGAGATGAGAATACACTAAAATGAGGCAGATGTTGCTGTAATCCAGACAACTGGGAATTGGATATGAGGTGGCCACGGGCTGGTCTATGGACGTCCTTCCACACTGATGCATATTCAATCTCTCTGGAACAAAGAACTACTGTGAGTCAGGGTATGTACATCCTAGCATCCTACTGTATGCTATAGCTAAACAGTCTCTTGTCAGGCAGTAGGAGGCTTATCATGGAGTGACATTCCTGATACACCTCTTTCGGGGAGCCCTTTTCAGACAAAGATGTCCTGGTTGGCTCAGAGAATTCCATCTTGCCGGTGGCACAGCTCAAGGGAATCCCCTTTGCCGACAGAACTGTGCTTGCATTCTGATGCAAGTACATAGGTTTGTACTGGGATATATGATAGAATAAATCACGTCTGTCTGTGTAGTGGATCCATATTCAGTTTTAAGCACAAATAAAAAGAGAGCAATGAATAAAAAAGCCCCAAAAGAGAGATAAGGCAAATTAGGGAACTCCTTGGGAAATTTAAAATGCACGGCCCAGCTAAGAGAAGTGATATTCGTCCCAGGATGATAAAGGATGGAGTCACTTGTCTTATTTCTGGGAAACTATAGGAGGTATCTAAGGAGTACCAGAAGAAGAGAGAAATGCAAATATTGTTCTACTCATCAGAAAACCAGAGGAAGAAGGGCAGTGAGTTCCCATGCACAGATTTCCTAAATCTGAAACAAATACTGGGAGATAAATACTTCTTTGAGGCTGGGTTTGTGCAGAAAAAAATAATAATCTTGCAGACAAATTCAATATCTTATTAAAGTAGAGTTACAGTTACTGGCTGAAGGGAATGTGGTGAGTGCAGTCTATTTGAATTTTAGAAAAGCATCTGATGCAATTGCTCATAAAATTTTAATCTCGAAATAAATTAAAACCAGCTTTGATATAAGCACAGTTCCATGAATCTACAACTGACCAAAGAATCATAAAAGAATGAAAAGTGGCATTTACATTGCACTGGAGGAAGTAAGCTTGCTTACTATGACTCTGGTAAGAATAATTGGCCTTATTTATTATCTCCTAAGCAATAGAGAATAGGGAGTGTAACAGCACAGTGCTGGTCTAAACAGGAAGGCGTATGATGGACGTGAACATTGGGAGAGAAGTAATTAATACTTTGTTTTTCTGCCCATGGTGGACAGTTACAGCAGGCAGATAAGGTGCTTTAATTCATGCCTTTGCTTACTCAAGAGTCAGGCAGAGGCCAGTGTTGCAGTCAGCTCGCCTGTTTTAAACCAGCAGGCACACAGGGAAGTTAAATGCTTGTCTTTCATAAGCAGAATGTACATGATATTAATGATATTAACATAGTCACTGGTGTTTTCTCTTAATTTGATATAGTCTGCAAGAAGGAATCTGCTGTGATGCATTACCAGATCCCAGCAGACTGATGCCCTGTGGTGGCTTGGAGCTGCCTTTCACCCATCTGCTTTCTGCGGAAAGGCTCAAGGATTCACTTTGGATGAGTCCAAACCAGATGGGATGAGAGCAATCACAAAGATGTATGGACCAAGGTGTGAAAAGGTAGAGGTGAGTTCTTTTATAAAGCAGGACTGTGATTCTGAGATTTTCCTTGCTCTAATTAATCCATGTGCACAACAGAGAGGTCCCTTGATAGTTTGCCTGGGGAAAAAAGAATAAAGAACCTTGAGAATGTTCTGGGGAGAGCAAAAATTGAGCTGGAGAGTCCAGATGAGACAGAAGTAGATATCATCTCTGCACAGTGGTAATTGACTTTGAAGACGCTATTCATCTGAATTACTCAATTCGCCAGGATTCCCATCCTTTCTATCTTCACTGAGGAATTCAATATATTCAAGAGTAAAGATGTGCAAAGAACTGATTTTTCTGTCTGTTGCACAACCTGAATAAGAAAATGTAAAAAGAAATCGTTTCACATCAACCTGATGGAATTTAGAAAATTTGTTTAGTGAAATTAAGGTAAAAAATCTTTCTCTTGAAAAGCATTTCGTTATCCACATTCTATTCTTTTAAAATAAATGTCTTGTTCTGTAACTTATCAATGCTTTGTTCAAAGACATCAAGAAAAAACACCTTAGTTTAGGGTTTTTTTCTTAAAGATTTCTTTTTCCAAAGCAACTTCTCAAACCAAAATATATTAGGAAAATCTTTTCTTCAGTGAGTGTCTTCATGTTTCTCATGGGACATGTTCAGAGGAAAGCCCAACCTCAGCTGATTCTGAGGGCTTCTGGGTGCTCACTTTTCTTTGTACACCATGATGTACATGGGGGAGCACTGCTTCTCATAGCTATTTCTCATGGAAAGCTTCAGCATCCCCAGCACCAAGGAGGGGTCAGGGGCACTGAGACAGGTGGTGCTCTCCAAGACAGCATCTCCTCTAGAAGCAAGGGCTTGCAGCACTACCATGGCCTGTTGGGAGCTAACCCGGCACCCAGCACTTGCATGTACAATCCAGTGCTGGCTGGTACTGCCCCTGACCCCCCTTCTGCGTGGCTTTTGGGGATTATTCCTCACTTTGGATGAGCTGCATGGAACAGATGTCAGAGACATCCCTGCAGTTCAGGTGTTTCAGAGCCTGTCTACAGCCACAGAAGTCTATTTCAAATTCATAGGGGTCCTCCACAAAGGTCCTATCTCTTCCTACCCCACCCTCTTAAGCCTTCCATGCTGAGTCTCCTGTTGCACCTTGGACAAAAGCCAAGCTCATTAGCACCCACAGGAACAAGTCATTAGCTCATGTTCAGCTCAGTTGAAAGAAGGGCCCTGGATTCCTACAAGCCAGCCTGTATCTGGTGTGACACCACAGCCACATGGCTGGCGCTCCATCATCCTGCACCGTGAAACACCACTTGTCACATCTGGAGCTCCCTCCTCCAGCAGCCTTTACTGCATTCTTCATTTTGATGCCTTGTTCCAGGTTTTAGAGAGCTGCAAGTCCCCTATTGCTCATTAGCAGGCTCAGAGAAACAGCTTTTATAGACCCATGTATTAAACAAATAAAAGACGTCAAGCAAACTTAAAAGCACATCCAGCTGCTTGCAGATTTACAGCATGCACATTAAACTCTCATTAAATGTACTTTTATAAAGGGTGGCTTTATTTTCTGAATCTGAATACCTGTGACAGTGGGAAGTGGGGTTATTGAAATATACTGGCTAAATGAGAACATTTACCAGCATAAAGGCCACATCTCAGTGACAATGCAGAGCGCACTGGGTGTTTTGTGGGCTGTCATGCAGGAAGGTGCTCTCGGCCTCTCTATCAGGGAGTTTATGAAGCAAATAAACATTTTCTTGCTGTCTGGCTTCCCTGCTTGCCCCCACCTTCTTTTTGTCTCCTAGGAATGGACACTAAAACTTTCAGGACAGTAAAAATGTCGCTATTTTATCAATTTGATGTCTTCGTGCATCTTGAAATAACCTCGTCTCAAATCCCACATTTTGAAACTCTGAGGTAGATGAAATAGTGATTTGATCCAGAGGAGGCCATGAGGATGATCAGGGGCTGGAGCACCTCCCATACTAAGACAGGCTGAGAAAACTGGGGCTGTTCAGCCTGGAGAGAAGCTGCGTGGAGACCTCAGAGCAGCTTCCAGTGTCTGAAGGGGGCTACAGAAATGCTGGGACTGTATCAGGGACTGTAGTGATAGGACAAGGGGTGATGGGTTCAAATTGAAACAGGGGAGATTTACATTAGATACAAGGAAAAAGTTCTTTACTGAGGGTGCTGAGGCGCTGGCACAGGGTGCCCAGAGAAGCTGTGGCTGCCCCATCCCTGGCAGTGTTCAAGGGCAGGTTGGACACAGGGGCTTGGAGCAAGCTGCTCTAGTGGAAGGGGTCCCTGCCTGTGGTAGGGGTTGGAACTTGATGATTTCAAGGAACTTTCCACCCCAGCCATTCTATGATTGCAGAATGTGCACAATACTGGGGTGGGGGTACAGGTGCTGTGGTGTAAGCTGCAGGACCACCAGCAACTCCCGCCAGTGCTGCACTGAAATGTCTTGAAACCAGATGTTTCTGCTGCTGGTCCTTATTGCAGCCAAGGCTAAAGGTGCACCGTGAGAAGGTTTGCAGAAGGCATGGCTATCACTTCCCTCTGACATCTTGCTGTGCTGGCAGAGTTCTTTACAGACACACTCTGCAGACACAGCAGAGACACCTGTGTTTGCACCCCTCTTTCCTCACTCACTATCCCTTGAGCTATGCAGAGGCAGAAAAGGGAATCTGCTCACTGTGGCATATTTGCTCATCAGATACTGTATTGATATGGACAAATGTAAGCAAACAGAATTGGTTTATGCTACATTAGAATTTTTATCTGCAACAGTAGTCCATTTATTAGTGAATAATCCAGGCTATTAAATGCTAAAATCGCTTCTTTGACTCTGAAAGTCACTGAGCCATACTTTGCTAGAGGCTGAGAGAGTGTGCTGAGCAAGCCCTGGGGCATGCTGATCTTCATCCTTCCAACTGGGAGAGATGTGAGGGTGGGGACAGGCCTGCACTCTGACCTGATCTCCCCAGCCTCATTTTCTGATAATAACATTTTTTCTAATAGGACTCCTATGTATTCCATTCCTTGTTGCAGAAGCAGAAAGTGATTTGATAGCAGAAGAAATGGTTTATGTCTTCAGGGCCCTATTTTCTGAATATGTACATGCAATTCTTGGCAATAATCTAGATTTTGTATGCAAATTGGGTCACTCTGTGTGTAATTGCCCTTTCAATGCATAATTGCCCGTGGGCAGGTTTTGTGGAAGATCACATCAACTGCATGTGCAGGTGAGTCCCGTATTTCTATTCACTTCAGGAAATGTGCACTGGCAAGAATTTAAAACCAGACACCCAAGAGGGAGGAGGACTTCTTAGCAGGATGGAAACAATGAACGTTTGGGCTGCGATCAGCAGGCAGGATTTGGGGAAGATTATGAACCTGAGAAACAGAGAAAATATTTGTGATGCATGTTCAGGATACCCTGTGGCAGGGGCAGACTTGAAGGAAGACAGCATGAACTTTCTAAACCTGGGACAGTGATTGCTGGGCTTGGAAAGGATGGCTCATGTTAACCATTCCCTCTTCAGCCTAGTGCAAGGCAATTGAGGCATAGAAGATGAGGAAAAGTCAAATACTCCTCCTTGGGTTCTCATTCTTTATGTGAATAGTGAGATGGGGAAGGGCTGAAGCAGTTTTCCTTCCAGCAGCATGGATTTCAGTGTGCTTAGGTCTATGGGACATGGCAGCACCCTGCCTGTTCTGGGATGGATCTGAATTTTAGACTACCCTGCGCAGAGGCCTTTATTAGTGAACACCCTTTAATCACTTTGCAGGGAGGCTGACACTTGGACAAGTGCATCCCATTTCTCAGCTCTCCCAGAAGTCTGCTTCTTCATTCACAGCAGAGACCAGATCAGCCCATACTTGATTTTAAGCATGTTTGGTTTCTGTTCCAATTGATAGGAATGCTGAGTACTGAAGAGCTTGCTGAAATGGGTCCAAAGCACCAGAATGACGAGGACGGGAGAGGCATTTTGATATCACAATTAGAGAAAATTTGCTCCAGGGCCTCTAAGGAAATCTCATAAAACTTTGGTGAGTTCTTACCAAAATCTGAAGCCATTTTCCCTTCCCCAGCATTTCTACCTTACTTTTAAAGGCACTTTTTCTGAAGATTTACTGTTAGAAACCTTCTACTGAGTCCATTTGACTGCTCCATATTTCAGAAACAATATGGGAACAGCAAAATCTCTCTTTAGGCTCCATTATCTTAGACTCTTATTGTCAGCATAGAGTTATAAAGAACCAAGACTACCTTTAAACACTGAATAGCTTAAGTGCTCAAAACATAAAATGAAAGCACTAAACATATCAGTTTTGTATAAAAAACGTGCCCCTTTTCTCTTGTAATAAACAAATAGATATATAACAGCAACCAAAATAAAGCAGGTAAATGCTTCAGCTCCTCTCCTTGGAGTGCTGGGCTGTATCTGCTCGATGTATGGAAATACATCACTTGTGTTGACTTTAACCTCCGTACCAGGAATGAGAGTCACCACCTAGTCACATCTGCTGGTGGCAGAGTGGGTCATTTCAAGGGGCAGCAGTGCAGGAAATACTGTCTGTGGCCCTGGGGTCCCCTCGAGCAGTGTGTGCATCCAGCAGAGCTCCGGGGATTTTCTGTTAGTCAGCCACTGTCCTGTTGCTGATTAAATTCTTCTGGGCAAACCGTGTCCATCTGTGATAAATTTGGTAAGATAAATGATCTTTCTAGACAAAGGAACTGCAGGATACCCCATCTATCTAGACCAAAGATATCATTTGATATAGAGCCACATGGGAAATTATCAGCTCAAGTGAAAGCACTGAGAATTTATACAGGAACTGTAAAGTGAGTACAGTGCTGGCTGAAGGGGAGACAGTGAGAGGGAGTGATCGTTCTGAAGTGAGGCTAGTGGTAAACATCCCTGAGGATCAGTAGTGGGACTGAGCATATTTCATTTTTGTATTGACCCTGGAAAGGAACGCTGAGTATGCCAATGTCACAGCCCATGAGATGGTAGGAGCATCGTCAATGCAAACCAAGATGGGGCTCTTAACTGAAGACTGACCTTGAACGCTGAAGTAATAGAAAAGGCACAAAATGCACTAGTTTATAAGGTATGGACAAGTATTTATGGAGCAGCAGTGACAATTTCAGCTATTTTTTAGAAATGACTGAGGATGAGGAAAAACCCAAGTGCACTTGGATGTCTATTTTTTTAACTACTAAGTGCCAGAAGAAAAACTGATCAGATATACCCAAGTTGGATTTCCAGTTTAGGCTGGAAGTCTAGGGAAGCACTAAGCTGATTTTACAGAGTCTGACCTCATCAGAAGAGTGTGCGCAGTTCTCTTCCCCTAAGTATGAGAGTGAAGAATTCAAATCATAAATGGTCCAGTGAGGGGATTTAGGACAATCAGAGGAATGCAAGGGCCATTCATCTGAGAGAAGAAAAAAGCACTGAGTTTAGCTACGTAAAGACTAAGAGTGGAATGTGCAGGGAGGCAAACACCCAAAGGAGAAAATTATTGCTGAGAAGAAATAACAGTGATAAGGACTAATAAGGCATGAAGACAAATGGATTAAATAAGCCAATAATTACTTTAGGCTTGAAATTAGAGCAAGTCTGTATAGCCAGAAGTGGGACAAACACCTTTAACAGCCATGTAATATGAAGTGTGAACGGTATATTACCATGTGTTTTAATGGATCTGCAAGAAACCAACAGGACCTGGGTGTCAGGACCACAGAACATATTCCTATGCAATGTTTATTGGTAAGGACTGGGCACCCTGAGTACTGTGTGCTGGAGTATGCTGTGTAATGGCAGCCCACATGCATGTAAAGAAGATATTTACCTATAGGGAAGTCTGAAGAACAAGTACAGTTCCTGACACATACATCTTTGAAGGTAAGCAGAGGGATTCATGTCTGAAGAAAACTGCTATTCAGCATTATCATTTTACACCTGGTTTTAAACAGTTAAGCTGTGAAGTGAAGGAGGCAAAAGTCAGATCAGGAGAGTTACCTGCCTGGTCACAGGCTGTGAGTAGCAAAGAGCTGTAATGGGCAGGCTGTGCACATGCGTGAGCTCAGTGCTCCTCAAGGATTCAGAGGACACTTACAGAAAAAGCATGTTTTTGCCAAAACTGACTCAGGTCATGAATGATTCATGAACAGAAAACAAGGCTACATTCATCAGATAATTTGTATGTAAACCACTAATTCCACCAGCTACAGAAATGAGCCCGTATCCCTGGAGGTCAGAGCTGTAATGAGCCGCTAGCAGTGGGAAGGATGCCTTTATATTTATGCCCTGTGATATTTTCCCATTAGGCTGTCACCAGCCCCTCGGTGGCCGGTACAGGAGATGGTTTTGCTGTTTATCAGCGTGGACCATCCTGGCTACCAGCAGCTGATGCACAGACTTTACTGGGGTTTGCTCCCCTGGTGCAGCAGTGCTGGGGGTGCCAAGCTCATCGCAGAAGCTTGGATTTGAGCGGAAGTGATGTGCTCACTGAAAGCCAGAATCCTTGTTCTTGCTGTAACTGGGCTGTGCTGGGTGGATGGGACCACAGGTGTGCTGCCTGAGCTTACATCTACTGCAGTTTGCTGGGACAGAAAAAGGCTTCGAAGTCTTCCCCTGTCTGCAAACCTGCTCTGTGACAGAGATCAAGGCCAGTGGGGATAAGAGACCTCAGCTCTCTGTTGGATTTTCCCATTGCCCTGCCTAAGACAACCCCAGTCTTCTGGAGCTACAGTGCCTCCAAAATTAGTCACCTTTCTCATGCTTCTTGAGGTCTGTTTGTAAGAGTCCTGACCCCGTTCACTTTCTATGTGATGCAAGCATTTGCCCCATGGCTGGTTGACTAGCAAACAAAGAAATCTGTTTAAACCAATGTTTTTAGTATCCTTCACTACTACTGATCTATCAGTTTAGTTGCAGAATAGTCCTGAACCTGCTGCAGAACATAATAAGCAGCAGAAATATATTTCCCCTTGCACTAAACAGTGTTAAACCTATAGAATTTGATTGAGTATGTTCACCCACCTCTACTCACCTTGTATCAAGCAACTCTTTCTTTAGAGGAAACTAGGCCAGATGGACATTTGGTCTGACCCAGTAGTGCTGCTATTATTTTTTTATTAGAAATAGGCTGAGTTAATAGCAAATTAATTCTAACTTGTGGCTGGAGCTGCTCCAAGGCTGTGCAGCTGCAGAGCATCAAGACCAGAGGGGAGCACACATTCCCTAAGAGGATGGGCTGCGAGAGTCTGGCATCCCTTCCGCATTGCTTGACCCCCAGGGAGGATTGCAGAGGAGAGGCAAAAAGTCTTGTAATACCAGTGGGCAAAACAGAAAAACCTGTCGCTCAGATCTACTTGTAGATCATCCATCCTGGATCTAGGAAGCCAGCCAAAAGGCTTGATGGGTATTAATAATGGGAATGTGGTCTAACGCTCTGCTTCCTCCTGACCTCGAGAGGAAAAGTGTGTGAGATGCCCCCTCTGAGCAAGCTGAGCTATGTCAGGAAGCCAGAACTACTGCCCTCAGTGTTTTGTCTAGATGGTCCTGAAGGAATTAGCAAATTCAGAATCAGTTTTGACCCATTTGATTCACTGCTCTGACCCCAGCATGTGCTCTGCTGCGTGCTGTACGTCCTTTGCAGTGCCCCATGGCTGTCTGCGGAGCAGCACTCCTCATCCACCGCAGCCTCCTCATTTTCTGCATACTATTTTTTATTCCCTTTGTCCTCTTTCTCTCGCATGTGCATACAGACACCTTTGAAACTTCTCAGCTGGCCAGTTTCCTACTTAACTGGTTTGCCTATTATTGCTTTCCAAATCACTTCCCTTTGCATTTGCCCTCCCTCAGGCCTTTTGTTATCAGCAGCTTTTCCTTCTTCATGTTTCTTTCAGGGACTATTTCCTTCCTCCTCTGTTGCTTCCAGATGCTCCCTGCTCTATCCACCCCTCCTACCCATCCGTTTATTTTTAAGCTCAATGCAACAGTTTTTGTCTCACACCACTGCATTCATTCCAGACCTCCCCAGCAGTTTTTAAAAGACATCCTACATCCAGCCTACCTTTGCATGGAGCTTATATTGTTAAATGTACTAAATGCTCTCCTCTGACTAGAGGGCGAGTAGAGTTAGGAGGGGACCTTTCAGACAGATCCCCCACATATTCTTTCTGTGGTCCAGATGTGGGCATTTGTGCTGACCTTCTCCTTAGCAGACACATCACACTCTCTCTTTTGGATAACTTCAGAGAGTGTGATTGCTGAGATCTGATCATTCCCTGATTTTTTACAAGGGAATTTTGCTTGCTATCAAGAGCTTTCTATGGCATTTGCTTTCAAAGGCATTTCATATCTGCTTGTATCTGCTATGGATTTTCAGTTCTCACATCCATATGTTAAGATGTAAATGAAAAAGGCAAAAAAGCCCTTTCTGATGCTAAGCTGTGGAATTTCAATAACCAAATATTTTTAAGGTGGTACAGGCAATGCCCGTCTGCTAATTCACAGCCTTATTTCCTTTCTGAAATCTCCATGGCACAGGAGATAGTTGCTGCCAGCATATGTAAAGAAGTTGGTTGTCATCCCTACCTTCTAAAGCTGTTCTTGAGTTTTTACTGCAGTGAGTGCTAAGAGTGTTTTCAATGTGAATATTATCAGTGTTTTCCCCACAGTTCTGCAAAGCCTTCTGGTCCTCACTTCAGTGTTGGCTAAGCTGTCATTTACAAGAGTGATGCTGTCATTACAATATTTGATTATTTTTTCTTAGAATAGCTGTCGTTGAAAGCACGTTCTGCATTTCATAAGGGAAATGGTTATTTGTTTCTTGCAGTGAAGCTGGGGGCAAGGCCAAGTAGTAGGTGTGGGAGAACTCACTTTTGACTTCAGCACTGCGGTAGCATCAGGCAAACAAGCTGCCACTGTGCTCACCCTGACCATGGGAGAACACCTGGCAGAGGGCACATCTTTGTATTGGCTTATACCTCCAGATACACTTGCAGTGGACACTGTTGAGTGTTTTATTTGCAATATAGAAGTTAAATGATGTTTCCCTGAGCCTAGGGACTTGTCTGCTGATTATTTATTCCTTCATTACAATCAATGCTTTTTTGATTTGTTCATATAGTAAACATACAGTCCTCTGGGTCAGACTCTCCTTGCAGGCCTTACTATAACCAACTGTACTATTTTGATAAGAAAAACACTCAAAAAAAACCCCAATTCACCCTGTTTCTTCTCTGCCGTGGTTGCAGAGCCATTCTGCTATGCCGGTGCAGAGCTTTGCAGGCACCAGGTTTTGAGGCCTTGCAGAGCAGATAAGTGTTTGTCCCTGTGTTCCCAGCAAACAGTGACTGATGGACATCAGCAGCCCTGATGGACCTCAACAAAACTGCTGTTGAGTTTTCTATGCAGTGTTTCACTGTTGTTTTTCTTAATAGCTCCATACAGTTTCTGCCTGTCTTATGCTTTCTAAAAGTGGTTTGGCCACTTCACCTTTTGCTTTTGGCTGTTAAAAATCTCTCTGTATTAATCCCTAAAAGGGGCTCCAGCTGCTGTAGCATGTATTAAGGACCTCAGCAATTGGATGAAGTGTTTTCCTGTCACTTCTTTGAGAAGCCACTTTTGGTTTCATGATCCATCTCATTCCTCTTGTCTTGCCTCACGTGGCATTTTCCAGCATTGTTCTTTGTTTTATAGAGAACTTCTGCTCCTGCGTTTGTGAGTATCATTTCAGAGAAGCTGATATTGTTGTCTCAACTCTCTCACACATAATCTAGATGACCTCTCCTACCCCGACTTGAGGTTTACTTACCTGTAAGCTGGCAGTGGTGGTTACTGGTTGATGGCATCCTGCAGGAAGATGTATGATCTGTAAATCAAAGCCTTGTAGTGCCTGATTCATTTTTCAGTTCAAATTGAAGTTGATTCTGTGCTTGTCTTACAGCCTTTCACTGTCAGTTTGGTTAATGAATTAGGACTTTATTTGCTTTTTAGTTTAATCCTAAACCTTCCCATGCAAATTATGATTCCTTCTGGCCTCATTCAGTCTGTATCCAATGGTCATTCTGCAACTGCAGCTGTGAGAGCAGG